TCGTACATTTCATATCAAGTGTTTTCAGCGCACCAGTAACACACGCACTTCATATAACTACTTCTGCTTTTTCACAGCTGAGATAATCAGAGGATCAGCGTTTTTCCCATTTTGTTTAAGGTGTGGACTGAAATATGGCAAGATCTCTCCAGTGAACAAACACTCAGTAAACGAGTAGATGTGAGATTGAGCCGTCACATCATAGAAGGACACGAGACCTTCCTCGTAATCCAAAAACACCCCGACCTTCTGAGGTTTCGCTGTCAGCGAGAGGCTGACGGGTGGGGCTGACAGGGCTGCGTACTTATCATCTTCATAATGTACAGTTACCCAGTAACCGTTATCTGGGGTCAGCGAGAGTTTCCCCTTGCAGTTTGCGTTGCGTCTCACTACACCCAGATCCCATCCGGTCTTTTTGCCGACTTCCACCTCCCAGTACGATTTCCCAGAGGTCAGCCCGTTGAGCCCCAGGATGCTGCCAAACACGTCAAACCTCTTTGGAGAATCAAAAGCTGCCTGGTTCTTTCCTCCATCAGTCACTTTCTTCCCGTCAGGAGAAAGAACAAGGCATCGGTGCGCAGTAGCTGGGTCCAGCTTTACATCCACTGCAGTTGAATAGAGCAACAGAAAAAGAATCATGGTGCATTAGAGACCTTTCGGATGATAATGAAGGTCTCCTAACCTTAAAGGGTATTTCCAGCATTTTTGGCCCTATTTAGCATATGTTGGTGTCTTAAACATGTTAGTTTGGAACTAATCCATTACAACCCTTATTAGTAGTTGTTGTTGTAACACAAACAAACTAATTGATCAAGGCAGCAGTGGACCAGCAACTCCTGTGTTCGGAGTAAAAATATTTTTTTGTAAATGGAGTCTGGTGGAGCCTGGACAAAAGTATGTCGTCCTGCCAATCTGTCAGTCTCACTCTGAATATCCTTGAGGCCTAACAAACATCATTAATGCATTTCCTTTCTGGTTTCTGAAACCTGCATTGATTGGATTTATTATTTTTTTTATTACTTTCTTTCAAGCTTTTAGCTTTTATTTTTACTAGTAACACTTTATGTTAAGGGGACATGAATTATCATGACTTCATGTACTTTGTGAACTACCTGAATTGTATGAGAATAAACAGTAACAATAACAGTATCCCATGCATGATTAATCTAATAACAATATGTTCATTAATGCAACAACGTAGTTAACTTATTTCAAACATCAATCACAATGTCTGATTTATTAATGTTCATGTTTTCTTCATAGGTAAGTCTACAGTTACAGAGAAGGGGCAAAAACTGACCAGTCACAGCTGTGACCATGTATTCTGTTGTAATTATGATTATAAATGTGTTGTAATCAAGTGTTGTAATAATGGTAACAATTATGAAAGTAATCATGAAAACAATCATGATTACAACACTTGAAATTCAACAGAATATCAGAGCACTGCTATGACTAGTCAGTTTTTTGTCCTGTCTCTGAGCCTTTGCTTTCATTTTCTAAAAGAACTTTGAATGGGTTGAATTTGAAATGGAATATCCACTTTAAATATTTTCTTCCCATTTCTTGAGATCTTACACAAAACACCATTGTATCTGAAAATGCTCATTTCGTCAAGCGAATAAAACGTCTGCTTCTGACAAAAAGGGTCTTACTCTTTAAAAAATCTTTAAAAAAGTATTTCGTAATGTTGTCAGACACTTAGAACAGAATAACACTCAGCCTGTCAGTGACATACTTTGACGGGTGACAGCTATTGCATTGTTCTGAAAGGTATGTTGACAAAGTTGTTCTGCCAGTCTCGCTGTGTATATCCTTGAGGTCTAACAAACGGAATGCATTTTCTTCCTGGTAAAACATTTAAAGTCAAATTTGCTTATACGTCTCAAACCTGCATTGACTAGGTACATTTCTTAACTTTTTTTCAGGCGATTTATACTAGACTATACTCTGATGTCAATGCCAATGGGCAAAAACTGACCAGTCACAGC